GCTGCACTGAAACCTGTGTGGCGTTGACCATGAGTGAGATTTTTTCAGTAAATATCTTTAAAAATTTTTTGAGATTGACCGCTTTCAAATCAAAGGTTTTATTTTGCATATTTTATCGTTTTAGATGGTATTTATCTTGTGTATGAAGTTTTACCAGAAGCAATTGCAAAGCTTCCTGTGGCACCACTTTACGCTCTCTTTTACTTTCTGATGGTTTATTTTGTGATCGTAAACACGACTGTTAGTCATCATGATATTTCTTATCAAAGCTTTTTTGAACTTTTGTTTTATTTTACTTTTCTAGTTTATTTTTCCTCAGTTATTTCTACACACTCAGATATTGCCTGGTTATGACGTTTTACCTATAGTACCGACGTTTTTCTGCTCATACATTTTATGGCAGTCATTTTACTTCACTGATGATGGTCTGAATTGTAAACTGTTAATTTAAGACTGTATTCGTGGAAACTATAGTGTCAGCGCTATGTGATGAATTTCCTGAAAAGTTACGAAGAAACCACCGTCATGTACTCACTTTCACCTGTGCGACGTTATTCTGTCTTGGCGTGCCATTTTGTGCGCAGGTATCAATGCGGTTTTCAATATAATCCTGAAAAAAACGCTTCGCTATTTATTTTTTTAATTTGTCGTTACACTTTATTTATATCACTATTTTGAAAGACTTTGTAGGTGTTTCTTGTTCTAATTTTTAGGCTGGAAAGCACTGGTTGCTACTCTTTGATTATTTCACTCCAACTTGGTCACTCGTAGTTTTAGCTTTCTTTGAAATAATGGCTATCTCTTGGATATATGGTAATTCTAGTCAAATGATTTTTGATGAGCGGTTTCAGTCTGCAAAGTTTTAGGATAAGAAGTAATGAATGCATTTCAGGTGTTGACAATTTTCTGGATGATATTAAGTGGATGGTGCGATTTTATCCATCCGGTTATATTCTATGGAAAATTTTGTGGAAATTAATCTGTCCCTTTCTTTATTTGGTACGCTTGTAGTGACTTAGCAGCTTAAAACTTTCATTGTCATGGGGTTTTTACTTTTGTAATTGAGTTAGTGTGACAACCCTCAATTGTTTCGCTCTTACTAAAACTTTACTCTAAGTTAAATTTAAAACTATAGGTGACAGGATTAATAATGAAGAAGAAAAAATATTATTATTTAGTTGCATCTTCTTCTTATTCAGTTGGTCTTGACTCCAACTTCATTTGGTAAAATTAAAGGTTTGCTTGGTAAAAATTTTGATTGCGGTTTGCAGTGTAAGGCGTTCTAAATAGGAGCTATTTTATAAAAATAAAGTTCGTAATTTTTTTTT